TCACTCATCTTCTTTGGCATTTTGTAAATATATTAATATAGAGTTAGTATTTGTTGACCATCTGTTTCTCATAAATACAGACTTCGTTCACCCTTGTTTTGTTTATGCCATATATTATTTGAACTATTTTGAAGCCGAAATTGTACTTGCCAAAAGTGGAGCTATCTTGTTCTTGCCGTAATACTATGATCCAAACGTTTATTTAAAAGTTAGCGTGATATTTAGTGCAGCGACCGATGAATGTTTTTGCGCATTTTGTTCATAATTTTAAAAAAGAAACCTCTAGTTTTAAAAAGCACCCGCAGGTTGAGTATCCATCAGGATATCTCGGTGTTAAGACATCTCTTCAAAGTCCGTGAAAGGTTTTATTGGATCAATAGTTCCGATGCACACTGGGGCAACAAGTCCTCAAATTTGGCAATAAATAAAAAAATTAAACATGTACATTCTACTTCACATTTTTTTCTGATATACCACAGTCCACTACATAATAAAACGAACAAGTGCGGTCATCAGTTTCACGCGTCTCATCACCAGTCGAAGTTACTTATCTGCGGCGAGTATATGTACATTATTATTTCGTAGTTTTTAACTTGTTTTTGCGCTGTGTTTAGGCTGTATTGTGATTTTTTTTTCAAATTTCCGCTATGGAACCTTCAAGTTCAGGTATGTATTATTTTAATAAATAAAAATCATGATTCCTATACTTTCCTTATATCTGTATACAGATAGGAAAGTAAAAAGTTGAAGACAAATAAACGTAATTTTATAATAGTGGGGTTAAGTAAAATGAAGATTAAACATTGGGTCTATTGAATAAAGAAGAGTATTACCTTGCAAGTCATAACTTACAAGAAAAAGCTAAAACTTCTAAGTAGAAGCTAGTACTTATTTTTATTTGAATAAAAACTAGAACTCTCTCGAAAGTAAATATCGGAAAAATCTTTTGAATTTTGAGTAATTACTTGTAAGTACTTACTTATATTTACAAGTATTTACTTTTTTCGTTGCGTATGATGAATGAAAGACATGGGAACGCAAACACAACCCTCTAAACAAAAATTGATACTAAATAAGTCGTGACAGGATTGTATGCAACCACAAGTAAGCATTTGTTTTCGAGTGAGAAAAAATTAATTGCCAGTAAAAATTGGCGGTTACAGACTTATGTTTGTTAAATTACTAAAAAAGTATAAGGTTCTTTCGAATAAATCAATGATTCCTACTATAGTTCAAGCTTAAGAAAAGGCATGGAAATATCTCAAAGACGAATTTATCAAAATGTCTGGGACAAATACCACTGTTGAAAAGTCTACACTTTCACTTTCAAAACGCAACAAGAGCTTAGAATTGCTTGGGCTGATGCTTCTCTTACTATAGTTCTTCCTGTTACGAACATTTATGAAGTCCACCATGTTTAACAAAGTATATTAGCAACTACCGTAGAGAAAAAAGGATGCTTTATAGCTACCTTAAAAATCATCAAGTTATAACTGACTAATTTAAGACAGATCTTATTTTTATTCAAATAAAAATAAGCCAGTACTGGAAAAATATAAGTAAATCCTTATATTTTAAGTAACTACTTGAAACCATAAGAGTTTACTTATGGCCTCTTTTACATGAAGTAGTCACTGAACTTTTATTCAATTTATACTGAGAAAATACTTAAATAAGAGAAAGTAGAAGCCAATACTTCTTTTTATTCAATAGGCCCATTAAAATTTTAAAGTATTCTTAAATACGTGAAGGCTATTTGTTGTTCCAAAGCAGTCCAAGCTTCAAATTTCGACTTTTCATAATGAATATTGTTTGTACTTTTCGGAATCGTTTAGTTTTTGTGCACTTAATTGCACTTTTCTTCACTATTTGGGTTTTTCAAAGTATATAAATATATAGCGGGACGATCGTAAAAAAAATGAATTCTGTTTTTTTTTTCAATATATTTCGTTTATTAATAAACCGATTTTACTATCCTTAGGCTCATTTTATAGGCAACTAAATATACTCAAAAATAGCAGAAAAGTAAAAATTTAAGATGGCCGACCTAACTGAAGAAAAAAAAACGAGCTTAAAAGTAACCCATTTTAAACTCGTTTTTCGTAATAATTATAAATTAAATATAAAATCTAATAACGAAAATATCTAACCTATTTTCTTTATTTTAAGACCTCTCCGAGCACGATTGGTCCATTCGATCGTAAGATGTAGACAATCAAAGTTGTCTGGCTTTTATGTTTTTATAGAAGCTTATAATAACACATCATTATTCTTTGCAATACTGCTATTTTATTTTTTTACCAATTTGGACCCAATGGGTCTGATTTGGTAGGTATGTAACAATTGTAACGTAACTATACTCTCCGACCATCAAATTAAAATGGCGGAAATTTTAGATTCCAGGATGGCGAACTTAATTGAAATATGAGTTGATTTAGAGCTAGTTTAATTTTGGTAGATCTGGGAGCATAGTTGGTTATCTATAACATGAGCCTAAGAACAGAAAAATCGGTTTATTATCTAAAAAAAGAAAATGAAAACAAAATAGTTTTTTATAGCCAACCCGGTATAAATAAAACATATAACAGTGTTTCGCACATAACAATTTAATTTTTTTATTTTATTTCAGGAATGAGGTCGAACACTATGTTTTTATCGAGAAAGAAACTTCTTAATATCATGAGAAGTCCTGGAAAGAATGAAATTAATAGAATTTGCTCATAACATCCCTAGATACTTTGTTGAAAAGTACCCATGGTTCAATATGCCTCCGATATTGCACAAATACTTTATACATGGGCGTGAAATAATATCTTCTGCTTTGTTGCCTATAGAACAATTAACAGAGAAAGCGCAAGAAGTCCGGAATAAGGTTTTCAAAAAATATCGAGAACATTACTCGAGGAAATATAGCGAAAAGAAAACTTACGAGGACATCTTTAATTCGTTTTTACTTAGTTCCTACCTTGTAATCACGAGCAAACGAAAATGAAAAAGAAAAACAGAACCTGCAGCACTTTCCTAAAGAGACAGTAGATTTGTTAAAATTTGGACTCGTCCAGCTTCATAGCCATGGTATATTGATGACTCTGATGATGACAGGGGAGACGATGAAGAAAATGTCTTATCACATTCTGAAGAGGATGAAATTTGATTACAATTATCATAGCTTTTCTAAATGAAATTATTATAATATTACATTTTTATTATCTGTATCTGTAACGTGTGGAGGGTGGATTACCCCCACGGCACTTAGGCCTCATTAGGCCCATGACATTTTTATTATATTATGTTAGTATTACGAAAGAAAATACACAGAGAGCTTATAAAGTGTTTATTTGCAAAAAAAAATAGAAAGATGTTAAGAATAGAATATACATTTTTATTATATTCCTAAAAACTTTCTATTTTTTTTTAACAAATAAATACTTTATAAGCCCTCTATGTATTTTCATTTGTAATACTAACACCTTTACAAAGCAATATTTAACTTAGAAATTCATAAAGACAGTCTGTGATTTATTGCCAACTTTGATGGCTTGTTTCCCAGTGTGCGATGGTGTAAGAAACGGAAAAGGAAGGTTCCCATGAAATAATACAACGGCGGTAGCCCATTTGAAAGGATTGTTCTAGAACTCTAGATATTGCTGGTCTATTACCCATGACCGAGACTGGTAATAGATACACGATGGTGGTCATAGATTATTTCACGAAGTATTGCCATTCCAAATCAAGAGGCCGTAACAGTTGCAGACGTGTTGATGTTGATAAGAGTTTATCAGTCGCTTTGGAGTGTCCTTGAAGATCCACAGTGACCAAGGCAGACATTTTGAAAGCCAGCTCTTCCGAGGAATCTGTGACATGCTAGGCATGAAGAAAACCAGAACTGCAGCATTGCACCCACAGTCGGATGGAATGGTAGAGCGAATTTATTACTATTATCATCATAACTGTCGCTAATCTTAATTATTATTGGCATTTGTTTTTTATTTTATTACCATTATTATATCCGTCGCTCATTTTATTTATACAGGGTCGCATTAGTGCGTAATTGTTCATTATTTCAATTTGTGTTATTGACACGCAAACAAGTTTCAAATAACAGTTGAATGGATTTAAGAAACACATAAAAATAATTTTGGATATACAGGGTATTGAGGTATAGCCTAGCAATTAAAAATTTATATTTTTTAAATAGAACACCCTGTATTTTATTTCAGTTTTAGAATGGTTTGGTAATACTGTATTCAACCTTAAAATTTTTTTAAAATATTACAGGGCTGTCAAGCAATACATTTTTTCTTAATTAGTGAATGATGCAGACCCCAAATTAAATTATCATAATTTAGGTAGGTAGGTAGGTAGACTCATAAGTTACTAAGCTACCGAATAGTGGTGATAGAACTGGATTATTTTATACAGAATATTTTGAAACATGTCTTAAATACGGCTAATTTTAATTCAATTTACTCAATTTTTTCAAATAAAACACCCCTCTATATTATTTTAGAATCAAATTCATTATAAATTTACTTATCCAACTATACCAAGATGTTAACCACTAACACATGTACAGGGTGTCCCATCAGCGCTTAACTGATCAATATCTGTTTTATTATTGGAAATACGAAGAAATTTTTAATATAAAAGTTCTATGACCATATTTAACAATTATTTTTAAATATACAGGGTGGTCCATGAACGAGAAACTTCCCCCCTTCATGATTGACATGTGGAATATGATATATCTTTGTAAAATTTACTTTTTTAATAAGTATAGTTAATAAATTTATTATAGTTGTACTTTTAAAACGTAGAAAGACGTGTTTAGGTTTATTAATTATATTTTGACATAAAATGTTGGAATTAGACTTAAAAGGTTTTATTTGAAAACAGTATAAATTCCTGGTATACTTATCAATATACAGTTATTATCTTACATTAAATAAAAGAGCAAAATATCCAAATGTTTAACAAATAAAAAATATGAAATTCAAATGCTCTTATAAAATATATCCACCTTCTTCTAAAATTTAGGACCTCTTAAAGAATTTCCAAAATTTGTTGACCAATCCAGATTTGTTTTCCTTAACCTCCTTGTCACTGTGTTTAGACTGATTATCTAAAACTATTTGTTTCCCATTTTTGGTCATCAAATTTTTATCATTCTTTCCCGCCGCTTCTGTCCGTTCCGAAACATTTTGAGAATTGCAAATGTCCATAGAGAGATCTTCTGAAAATAATTTTTGAGATGCTTCAGCTTTTTCATCTTTATTCCTAGATATTTGTTTGGAAGGCTTATTTTCATTTGCTGTGTCTGCTTTATTTTCAGATTTATGTCTCCGTGTACGATTGTTAAAAGAATTTGATGAAGTATGTACTTGTTCATTTATAAAATTATCACCAATTTTTTCGAGACCTTTGGCATTTTTTGGTTTTGTTTCAATGTGAAACAACGTGTCTTCACCCGCAGTGGCGGGTGGATCTGAGTGAAGACACTCGAATTCCTATTGATCAGAAGGTTTGGATTTCTTGACATTCAAAATCTAAAAAAAAGTGTAAATTATAATTTAAAATACTGTAAATTCAAACTGAATAGAGGATTAGTAGTTATTGCACATTTAACATTAGTATAATTAAATTAGAAGGGGATTACAAATTTTTTTCATAAACAAATATTTTCTTCAAAAATATAATAATTTTTGGATTAAAAGTGTTATTTTAAATGAATGTGATAATAGTACTTTGCGCAACTGGAATGGATATGGACAATCCACTCAAGCTGTACAAAATATATTTTCTACTACTCACTAACGAAAAACTACAAAATTTAAAAAAATAATTTAGGGGCTATTAAAATAAAATAACTACTACTACTACTACTACTACTACTACTACTACTACTACTAAAAAAAAAGATTTTAAATAATCTTGATCTTAGAGATGAATGCTGGACCTTTCACATGAGAACTAAACAGACTATTTTTTTTTAATATTGATAATTTATTTAATGTCGGTCTATTTGTAACTACGAAGTTTAAACACGTACGTTGGTGAGCATATACCAAAAATGTGTGTTACAATCAAAGGTAGGGATCTTTAACGAGTCCGAAATCTATGGAAATCCACGAAAAGATGGCACACCCCACGCTATACCTTGTACTTATTGATATAATGCATGCCTGCTGTGGTGTGCAACTAAGCGAGCAGTTTGTCAGACGTACGCCGACTTTCATTGAAATAGTAAATTATATCAATGACTATTTTATTAATTTAAATAAAAATAAAAAATAATAATAATATTGTACCTAACTATACTATGAGTATTGATAAACATCATAAAAGTTTTTTCTTTTTCCAACAACTCCTAGTGAAATCATCACTATAATCAAAAAAACTACTTCTAAACCCACTGAAGGTATTGACGAAATAAATGGTAAAATTCTGTTATCGGTTGCTCATTGTATTGCTGAACCCATATCAGATTTGATTAATGAATCCTTTGTTTCGGGATTATTCCCAAATATGAAGGAATCTAAAGGAATTCCTGTTTATAAAAATAAGGGATCTGCATCTAATATAAAAAATTTTCGTTTAATCTGTATATCTAGTCAAATAACTAAAATATTTGAGTCGGCATACTTTATTAGACTCACTAATTACCTTGAAAATTTTAATATGTTGCCAGATACTCAAAATGGATTTAGAAAAAATAAGTCAACATCTACTGCAATTGCAGCTTGGCTAGAGTTTATATATCAAGCACTCAATGATAAAAAACATATTTTGGGACTCTTCTATGACCTTAGCCGTGCATTTGATATGGTGGATCATAATCTTTTATTATTGAAGATGAATGGGTTAGGAAAACGAGGGAAACCTTATGAATGGATACAGTCTTACTTAATAAATTGAACTCAAGTAATTGTAATAGTCTAAAATCTGATCCTCTTCCACGTACAATAGGAGTTCCCAAGGTTCAATTTTGGGCCCACTTCTTTTTATATTTTTTATAAGTGATATAAGTAATTTTTGTTTAAGCTCTCAACAAATAGTTCAATATGCCGATGATACCAATATTGTAATGGCAGATGATCAAACTGAACAGGTCACTCCAAGTAGCAACGAGGCATCTCGTGAGTTTAACCAGTATTGTAAAGATAATGGTCTGGCATTAAATGTAACAAAAACAAACTTCATGCAATTTCTACCCAAAAACATATTACCAGATTACGAACCATACTTGCACGTTGACGGAAAAAGTATTCCAAATTAAATTGGGAAGCTCTTATAAAAATGGTAACTTCAAAATTAAGTACTTGTTGTTATATCATCAAAAATTTAAGGGAGACACTATCTTTTGATACTTCAAAACTATGCTATTTTGGTTTGGTTCATTCAACTCTACAATATGGGTTAATATTTTGGGGTTCTTCACAATACTTTGAAAGAGCTTTCGTATCTCAAAAGAAGGTTCTGAGAGCCATGTATAAGGTGACATCAACAACATCATGTAAAGAACTTTTCAAAAAAACGCAAATTTTAACACTACCTTCCCTTTTTATTTTTCAACTAATTTTAGACATAAAATATAAAGACCTGCACTCATATGATACTAGATTAAAATTTAACATCCATCAACCTTTTTCACGACTACAAATAAGCCAGCATTCACCAAAATATATTGGGATTAAGTGTTACAATAAGTTCAGTAACATATTAGAAGATACTACAGGTTGTCATCAAATTAGTCGTAATGATTTAAGAAAACATCTTAATGATTTTCTTGTAAATAATTTATTTTATAGTATAGAGATTTTTTGAACTTTTAAACTAATCTTAACAGGAATTGTCTATTATATATATTTTATTTTTTAATGTATTTTACTTAACACTTTTTTGACTAGTCTGATAGGATTTTACAGTATGAACCTAGTGTCTTTGTATAGTGTATAATTCTCAAAGATGAATAAATTCTATTTCTATTTCATTATTTCAATATTAGTTGTCCTATAAAATCAAAAAGAGCAAAAAAAAACAACAAAAAGTGGGTTAGCAATGAAGTAAAAAATTCATCTAGTAATGTAAAAGATAACTTAAAATGTAAATATCCCCAACTCGAAGCAACTTATCGGAAAGCAGTCTTCACAAAATATAAAAAGTAATTATTATTATAGCAAAATAAATAATTCCTCTAATTAAAATTAAATTTTATGGGGGTGCTATAAATGAACTCAGAGGGCAACATATTTAGAAAGCTATCACCTTAAATATTGATAAAGCAAGAGCAAATGATCCACCGTTTATTACTAATAAATTTAATGAATACTTCAATGCCCCTAATGATGCAATTAATTAGATATCTAAACCGAACTAACTATACAATAAATTGTCCTTCAAATAATTTTGTACCAAACATTATATTTCTTTATGTCACAACAGACGATGTTCTTGGAATAATCAAGAATAAAATTAAAAATAAACCTTCATGTAGTTCTGATAACATATCTGGTATTGCCATTAAAAAAAATTGCAACTTATACCATAAAACTGCTTTCCAATATAATTAATACTTCTTCTGAACTGAAAATTTCATTTGTTTCTCCTACTTTAAAAAAGGGAAAGGAAATACATATAAGTCTGATCTTATGGTAAATGCACAAGGAGTTCCACAGGGATCCATACTAGGACCTTTGCTGTTTATCTACTATATAAAAATAAGTCGGGTTTTCCTTCCTGACGCTATAACTCCAGAACGCATGAACGGATTTCCACGGTTTTGCATTCGTTGGAAAATTCTTGGGCTCCGTGAGGTTTATAGCAAAGAAAATTCAGGAAAAATTTCAACAGAAAAGCGGGAAAATCTGTTTTTCACATACAGCGCCATCTCTGATACATAGCATGTACTACAAACCAATATTTTAAGTAGATGACGCCGGCGCGTGATACACTGTTCGACAGCTACTCATTGTTCTCTGCTCAGTTAATTTCATGTGACAAACCGGTATTGTGTTTACTGTGAAATTGTAAAAAAAAAGTAAAAAAAAATAAGTTATTCGTTTCCTAACATTTCAATTGGAAACCATCAAATCAATCACGTGTATTGTGCAAATTTTTATTCAATTTCAACAGCAGGCATTTATCTTTAAGGTGGTAAGTTGAACTGTGTAAATTATGTGGATCGTGCATTTGAGGTTAAACTCACCACTCTGTCCATAGTCCAAAATGCCTAGAGGACGACGTGCGAACATCGGCGGCCGCACAAGACATGCAAGCCAGCAACAAGTGTATTCACAGAACTTAAGTGAAGAAAGACAAAATATAATAAGAGAAAATGCCCGATTGAGACAACGCGTGAGCACACGAAGATCATTGGCATCATACAATCGCTTGGCATTCCAATATGATCCCACTGCGAACTACAGTGATGATGAAAATTTAGATATTGGACCAATGACGACTATATGCCGATATTGCAATGCGTTAAAGTTCAAAAGAGAAACGGTTGGATTGTGCTGCGCAAGTGGAAAAGTCAAACTGGATCCATTACTTACACCACCACAGCCACTGAAACCATTGTTCGATGGAAGTGATCCCGATTCCAGCCATTTTCTTCAACACATCCTTGAATACAATAACTGCTTTCGCATGACTTCCTTTGGAGCTAATATCATTCGAGAAGGCAGCTTCATGCCGACTTGCAAGGTAAAAGATACAACACACATAACCAATCACTCACACCAACACAATGAATTGCAACACATAACAACTACATATACACCACACACTACACCATCACACGATCAGAAGTTACACCGAATTCTTCAACAAATGATTGTTTGCAATTACAGATACAAGGACAAATATATCATTTGCATGGTTCAATGGTGCCAACACCAGATGAACCGCATCAATTTCTGCAAATATATTTCATTTCGTCGATGGTGGATCAGCTGAATGTGCGGTGCAATATACAGGGAACACAACAGTTGAAGAGACGAATTATTGAACATTTGCAAGCATTTTTTCACGCTAATAATGCTGTGGTTAATATGTTCAAAACAGCATTGGAACGAATTAATTTGGATTCACTTTCATTTACTTAGAGAGGTTCAACTAAATAACACTTCATTTTTGTAATCGAAATGAATTCATTATTGTTGTGAAAAGAAATAAAATTTTCCTTTTCAAATATAAAACAAAAAAAAATTGTTCTTCATCTTTTAATCACCAAACGAAATGTTACATAAAACGAAGCCATCTGGTGGCGAAACGGAGTTCGCCGGGTTTGCTAGTTTTATATATAAATGAGCTACCTTCTGTTATACCAGAGATATTACCACTCTTTATGTAGATGATTCAACTTTACAGTTTAGTCATAAAGACACAAACATTTTAAAGGCCAAAATTATGAATGTTTTATTGAATTTTTTTGCTGGGTCTAGTGATCAATCCTTATTATTACATACAACTAAAACGAATTTTATTTCATCCTCGACAAAAAAACTTTGTTCACTGACATCAATATATTGATTAACAACTCAAACATAACAAAAACAGAAAATGTGAAATTTCTGTGAGTATTATTTGATTTAGATTTGTCCTTTAAACCCAGTGTTTGAATTTATCAAAGATGTTAAATTCTAAATGATTCCAAATTAGAAATTTAAGGAAAACATTACATTTAAATCACATTCATTTACTGTATTTTAGTGAAATACAGTCTAGGATTAGTTATGGCATTTGTATTTGGAGTTAGTTTTTTGTCACAGAAAAGAATTCTAAAGTGTACTTTAAACATTTCATTTGTAGATTCATGTCGACCTGTTTTTGAGAATTTTAACTGTGTATGGCCTCTATATTTTGAATTTAATAACATCAGTGCATAGAAATAAAAACAATTATTTACAGAATAGTGATATTCATGATCATGACACAAGATATAAAATCAGATCTCTTTATACCTTACCAGTGCGTCATTCTGCAAACAGGGAATTTTGAGAACATACTCTGCGAACGAATGCAAGTAGCTCTAAAAATTATCGAGCAGTGGCGCAAGGATCATCCTAAGGAAACAGAAATGGTCCTTTTCATAAGAAAAAGGATGAAAATGGAATTAAAACCTCCAGAACTCCTAAACACAAAACTAAACTTTGCAACAGAGGTGAAGTACCTAGGTCTCACCTTTGACAGCAAGTTAACATGGAACTCGCATTTAGAAAACAGAGTTAAAAGAGCATACATTGCTTATGAACAATGCCACCGAACCGTTGGGAGCACCTGGGGTTTTCCCCCCAGAGTCGTCGCATGGACTTACACAGCTATCATAAGACCTTTGCTAACATACGGTGCAGTTGTCTGGGTACCGAAAACCCAAAAATTAACAGCTATCCGTAAACTAGAACAAATTCAAAGAACAGCATGTCTCAACATAACAGGAGCCATGAAAACATCACCGACCAGGGCCATGGAAGTCATTCTTAGTCTCACTCACCTTGATAATTACATCAAGGGGGTTGCTCTGACGACAATGACACGCCTCCGCACGGTTGGAATAGAACCTGATGTAGGATCTGGTGAGGCGAGACGTCGCTTTTGGCAGGAGGCGCTCAATACTCTTCCACTGCTTCAAGCTAATATGGACTCCATCTCACCGAGATATATCTTCCATAAGCCATATTAAGTTATAATAGAACAAATAGAAGAGCCAGAAGTGGCAGGTACGATTCATATCTACAATCTCAAACAAAACAAGGCTCAGGATGTGGAATATACTCCAGATTTTAAACCTAAACATAAAATGGGCTGTGAGCAATAGTGCCAGTGTAGTTCAAACAGAGCTAACGGGGGATAGCAGACAAGCACTACTCACCCTGAACAGACCACGAATTTACTCAGGGTTAGTACTAGAATGTCACGAAGCTTTGGCCGAAGTATCCATCAACAATGTGGTCACCTTAAGATGGATCAAAGGTCACGCCACATCGAAAGGTAACCGTCTTGCTGATTCACTAGCTAAGAAAGTAGCCAACCAAATACTTTTTGGACCTGGCCCTTCTATTGGCCTGACAAAATCGGTTGTGACAGACCTAATCAAAGAACATTCCCTTGTAAAATTCAAGGAAATATGGGATGAAACAAGAAACTGCAGAGTTGCCAGGGAGCTCTTGTTATCCTGACAACACTGCAGCAAACAAATACTTGACTATGACTAGACAGAATCTGCGCCTAGTCACAGGCATTCTAACTGGTCATTGCCAAGTACGAAAGCATCTCCATATCATAGGGCTGTCAGAATCCGCACTCTGCATAGGGTGCGAACAAGAAGATGAGACCATCGAGCATATCCTTTACGATTGGCCGACGCTCTCATTTATTAGAAAATTGGTGTTCGGCGAGTATCAGCTAACACCAGCCGATATAAGAGACATTAAATCTGTAGGCTGGCTCACGAGCTAGGAGGTGTCATCATCTCAGGAGGATGCACAATGTGCCTAATGAGGCCTAAGTGCCATGGGGGTAACCCACCCTCCACACGTTACAGATTATACCTTACCAGTTTATAAACATTTGTAAGAAATCACCTAAAGTATTGGGAATAAAACTTTATAATAGTCTCCCACAATATTTTGAAGATATTGCATTAGTGCATAAATTTAAAGAGAAAACTTAAAACTAGGTATCTCATTGATATGTGTCCGTATTTGGTTCAAGAATATTTTGAAAATACTCATCGAACCATGTCTAAACTGCAACATATACTTTGTTTGATCCTAATTTCGAATTGTTTCACGTATCTGTGTGATTTTAGTTTTTATATTTTTGTATATCATATATTGTACATTACTTTATTTGAAAACAATCTTAAATTATTGACTAATTTTAATATTTCAAGCTAAATGTTGTAGTTTTATAAATAAATGGATTAGTCTAGTAGTTTTTCATCATTGGCGTACAGGTTTTTAATAATTTGCCGGAAGATATTAAATGCTTTTCAAACGTAACAATATTTAAAAGAAAGCTGCTTTATTACTTGTTAACTATTTTTGTTTTATTATATTTTGTAAAGTTGACTTTTTATCATTTTAAGTATGTTGACTATATACTTATGTATTTTTATTTGAAATGTAAAGAGTGTAAATTAGTTATTTTTGAACTAAATAAACAATTTAAAATTTATTATTTAGACAGTCATTTTCAAATTTATTTAAGAGGTAGGATATTAGAATAATTTCTCATGGATATTTCTCACAGTATGACAAATTAAACACTTTCAATGCAAGTAAGCTGTAAGAAAAATTTAACTTTATATAACAGTTACAGAAAAAATATTATTGTCTTACCCTAGAAGGCCGAACTTCGATTTCTTGCAATGTTTTAGCTCTAACAAGATCCTTGTGGCCCTCAGCTATCATTTTTTCTTCCCAGCTTCTTAGTAAAACATTATACTTTTCATTTTCTTTTACATACTCATCTTGATACTTTTTCTTTTCTGCTTCGGGCAATGCTGCCCACTGTCCCTTCAGACTGGCCATCAAATCCTTTTGAGACATATTCTTAGCCAGACTCTGTTCTTTGAGATATAGCAAATAAGGTCCTACTGGCCTCTTAGGTTTTTCTGTCTCCTTAATTAGCTACAATATTATGTTGATTTATAAAGATAATTTAAGATTTAATACTTATTATTTTTATAGGACAAAGTGTACAGGGTGGGCAAATTTTAATGTTTTAATAGAGTATCTTGTTAACTATTAATGGTATGGAAAAATGGACCTCCCATCCTCCATCTCTTTTTTTGGGAAAAAATTGATGGCATTTTCAAAAATTGGCTATTGTCTTTTGTTTTCGAGTTATAAACAAAAGTTCGTCTTTTTAAATTTTCATTATGTGGTATTATCTCGCTTATTTATGAAAGTGGAAGAAAATAATTTATATCTTCTTCAGACACTTTTTGATAAGAATCCAGTGGCATAATCAATTTTTTTTAAATTCTTCAAATTTGAATTATATCATAAAGTTGTACTTTTTATATGGAACGGGTAGTTGGCTATGGCATACAAAAAATTTCCCATTTTAACGATATATATTTATAATGTGGGGTCAGTTTATTCATTTTCATTGTTATTTAGCAAAATCTCATTATTTTCAAAATAATTTATAATATTCTGTTGTTTTCTAGTAGGCTTGTTTCATTTAAAATATTGCAACTTCAGAATTATTATTACTTTGAATAAAACACTTTAACATGTCAAAGTTTTGACTATTTTCATAGGCCATCTTGCACTTTTATGATAATATCATAAACAATTAAACTTTATTAAATGATCAGTGCTGTAAAAATGCCGATACTTCTCTCAGAAATATTCTGAATGACACAAGCCTACTAGAAAACAATTACAGATTATTTTGAAAATAATGAGTTTTTGCTAAATAACAATGAAAATTATATATATCATTAGAATGGGAAAATTTTTGTCTTTTTTTGTATGCCACAGCGAACTACCCGTTACATATAAAAAAATACAAGTCGAATTTGAAGTACGCCACTGGATTCTTATCAAAAAGGGCCTCAAGAAGGTATAAATTATTTTCTTCCACTTTCATAAATAAGTGAGATAATGCTACATAATGAACATTCGAAAAAAAAACTTTTGTTTATAACATGAAAACAATAGACAATGGACAATTTTTGAAAATGCCATTAAGTTTTTCTTAAAAAAAAAAAAGAGATCGAGGATGCGAGGTCCATTTTTCCATGCCATTTATAGTTAACGTGATTCTCTATTAAAACATCGAAATTTGCCCACCCTGTATATGTCAGTGTACATAATATCTTAAACCTTTACTATTTTAGAGATCTGAGATTTATTTTCGATTTTATTACAGCTACAATTTTATGTTGGTTGTTTTAACCAAACAAATTCAATATTGGATGTTGACACCAATCAGAGATATAGCCATTCATTGATCAAATATAATATTCATGATGTTAAGATTAAGTCGACAATCATAACATTCTATTTGTAGGTCCGCAGTGAGAAGACAAAAGGTGAGAGGTAAGAGAAGGATTTTACGCAGATACTTTATTTTATCAATGAATAAATGTGTAAGACAGGGTGTAAGCGATGTGCGCTTATAATAAACAATATAACAGTGTAGAACAGAAGTAAAAGTTGGAAATGCTTTTGCCAGTTCTCCCACTTTATACACATACATTGACAGGTTGGCAGCGGATCTCCCCGAAGTGGACGCGATACATTGGCGTACAAAATTATTTTATAGATGTTAATAACAATTTCGAGTAAATAGTTTAATAAATTGAGAATAGCTGATGAAATTTTGTAAAATTATAATTTGAATATTATAATACATGTTTAATAATTATTTATAATCTATAAATACATGCGATTGTCCGGTTCCGCCGATAACAATTTAAAATTACTTATTCTATGAAACGACACTGGCAGGTAAACATTACTGTGAAATTCTCGGAGCCGCCCGAAGTGGTTTGACGTTTACCCCCTCTCTACCTACCAAAAGACTTTTCAACTTTTACTTTCTCTATAAGCCCTGTTGCCACTTCCAACTTACGATTACTAGGTTTTGGAATTTATTGAAAATTATTACATATAATTGTGAAATTACACCTAATTTAGTTAAATTTGATATAATGATTCAACATTTTCTGGGTTTAGTTGCAATAAAATAGGTTGAATTATTTTAGCTTTTTTAATATATGTAAATAATTTTGTAAACAAAACGAGAATTATGAAATAGGCATATGACAACAGCAGATATTATACCCTCCTGTGTCCCTTAGAATATGTCTTATTCAGGACCCCACGATATTTGTTAGTAGTTACATCTCCTGTTATCTCTGGTACCAATAGATAAATGAAACAAATTTAAGAATTAGCATTTAATTGGTTTTAGAGTAAAAATCATCTCAAAAATGGGCAAATCCAAAAAATACTTTTATCAAATTATAACAACGTAATGGACATACCTCTACCACCAAAAATATTTGAATTTAAATCAAGTCCCAAAACTATTAGAGCGAGTAGGAAACCACTAAGGTCAAAACATACCCTTATTTCGAAAATCATCAATTTTTTTTTGGGATTTTGTTGATTTCACTGAAAATCCACCTCAACTTTATATGACTTTTTACTTTCCTATCTGTATTCAGATCAGGAAAGTATAGGAATCATGATTTTTTTTGACCTCGAGTTTTCGACGGTTTTTTACGTTTTGGGGTCCCCTGAATCCGTTTTGACTATTTTCACGATGATGTCTGTGTGTGTGTAGTGTGTGGGTCTGTATCCTTGATAACTCATGAACGGATACAAGGAAAAACACCAAATTTTAAACTTAAGCTTTACTCCAGCCTTCAGTGATCTGATTAGATTTTGGGCAGAGTCGGAACATCTAAGGGGGTACTTTATAGGTGGTAATTTTTATATTTTATGAAATATATCTGTTATTTATGTTTGGAGAAGAAAATTGTTCAAATAAAAGTTACTTCTAATATATTGTCTATAATTTTTGCTTTATGCCAAATTTTCCTGAAATGGTCCGTATTCTAGAAATTTGACAAAATGTGCAAAATTCTGATTTTTAAGAAAATTGTTAAACTAAAAGTTGTTTGCGATATCGATCTCTATAATTTTTGTTTTGTAAATGGACCGTAATGGGAAAATTGGAGGAAAAGTGCTAAATTTAAATTTTTCAGCGTTTTCGTTTTTAATGAATATCTACAGAAAAATGTTTCGAGTTAGATCTATGTGGAAAATGTATATATTTAGTTTAACCTCTAAACATTTATAGAGGTGCTGCAATAGGTTGTACAAAATAACCGAAAAAAGCCTATAATAACTAGATAGGAGAAGCATGTGTTGGACACATCAGATTTGTTATACTATTCCCTTGCTGTCTGATCCACAAGCTGCTGCATTTACATTTTTGAGCGAAGTGATTTCGGTGATGACTTGATGATTTTTGATGATTATTTCAGAGATTTTTGAGAAAATTTTTAGTGATTTCGAGTGAAAAAATACCAGTACATAGGGAGTGGTTTACCCCCATATTAGAGGGGTAAACCACTCCCAAAATAAATAAAGATACATTGGTAAAGGTTGGTGACAAATATGTAAGGTAAGTGCACCAGTAATTGACAGTGTCCAACTAATTGACACTTGTTCAATTATTCTTCAAAAATAAGAACATTAGACTGTTTATGAGAAATTTGTCTTAAACATCAGTATTATTAGAATATTTGGCAACCGTGTAGCCTACGTAACGGATGTTAGAAGGCACCACAGTTAGTTACAAAATGATGAAAAGAGCATGTGCAGCGATAGTGTTTATGTTAAGACATTTCATAAGGTCAGTATACCAAATTGAATATATCTACTTATCATCAGTTCATGTTAAATTTATTTAAAATATTCCTGGGGTGTATTAAACAACACTGATGGGTTTTTACTGGTTTTTATGCATGTAATTCCTAAAACCTCATTTTTATTAAAGTGTCAATGACTGGAACAAGCAAAACCAGTATGTTACAGTTATTGACATACCCTGTCAATCACTGGTTCACAAGCAAATACTGATATATACTGTTGTCTTACTGTCTAAAAAGTCTGCAATATACCATTTAAATATGAGATCTAATAGCCTTTTGGTTCCTGTCATTGTCAGGGGTGTCAATTATTGGTACAAGAAGTGTCAATAACTGGAACACATTTTTTATTACAGTTAAGGCACCTAAAAAAAATATACAGAGGCTCAGTTGGATGAAGCTCTTCCTGCTATAGTAAGAGGGATGCCAGTAACTACAGCTGCTAAAACTTACTTTGTTCCACGAATAACATTACTTTATGAATCAACATAAAACCAAAATACCACAAAAAAAAAAAGGATTCTCAGAAAAAGAGAAAACAAGAAGAACAATAAAAATGGACAGAAGAGTGAAAGCGAAAAAGGGAAGAAAAAATTATAAAAATACAAAACAAGGCTAAGTCAGTAAAGAGGGAAAGTTCTGACAATTCATCTGAAAACGAAGAATGGATGGAGAAAGTGGAGACAGTAGTATCAATTTAGAAAATGAAGAAGAGAATGAAATACCAATCAAATACGACGATATTCATGTAAGAGATTTTATTTTAGTGAAATTCTTGAGAGAAAAGAGATAAACTTATTTTTATAGGTATATCTGTGTGGTTCAGAAGAAATATTTCGGTAACAATATTGAAGTTATATCCCTTAAATCAACAAATTGAAACGAATACCTTCAAACTAGTTGATAGTGATATTTCAACAATCAAGATAGAGGATATAATATAGGGTGACCCGATTTATTTGCAGAAAAGTAGAACAACCAGGACAAAAAAACCTGATTTTTTATAAAAAAAACCTGACATTTAACAAATATACTTATATAAAAAAATGTAACAATTTTTATTTAGGTAAAAACTACTTATACTTTTCAGAAGAACCAAGTTCTTTTAAAATATTGGGATTGTTCATCAAATAATTATAATATTCCTAACAAGACATTTTTAAATTAAATTTTAACATTATGAGGCTTTTTATTGATTCAATAGATAAACGGTTTCTTTCTTTGGTCCACTACGATTAAAGAAAAAATTCGCTCGACGGCAGCATTATGTGCCGGAATAGCAAAGTAGAATTCACAAATTTTAAGTAAGACTACTTTTTATCTAAAGATAATGATAAAAATTCCTCATTTTAAATCTTTGTTGTCAAACTGTCTTTTAATAAAATTATTTCATCAATTTTCGATTGATAAAAAGCCGGACACGACAAAAAGCTGGCCTGACGTTTTCATTTAAGCGAAAAAGCCGGACATGTCCGGCTTTATCCTGACGTCTGGTCACCCTATATAATAAAAAAGTTATCCCAACTAGAAGTGCACAAAATATTGATATTTTTGAAGCCTAAAGCACCCATACATTTTCATTTTTTGTTTTTATTTTTGTGTTATGAATTTGCTATTTATTTTTATTTACTTAAGTGTATTCAAAATAAAAAGTATAATAAAAAAATGTTCCTTAATTTGTGTCAATAATTGATGTGTCAATTACTGGTACATGGAAAAATAAAGTGTCAATGACTGGTACTTCAAAATTATTTGAACTAAAAATACTACATCACTAATGTACTGGAGAAACTATAAGCAACAAGGAAAAAATGTATTAAATGCTTAAATTTTTATATTTTTGGTGAAAATAATTATTTAATACAAATCAGTGTCTAATAGTGTCAATTATTGGTGCAGTTACCTTATATGTTCTTATTTGTTACTAACCTCTGGCAAACAAAACTAAGGAAAGTTAAGATTCAACCTAGACTACAGAACAAAAGTGATCCTGAAAATATTTTTTTCAAATCATTATTTTATCTTACCTTTGTAAGGTTCCTCTTTTGCTTGTCCTTTCTTTTTTCTGTAGTAGCAGCATGCATAGCCTGCTTTTGTTCTTCACTTAAGTTAGCATTATATTTTGCAATTTCCTGATTATACACTTCCCAATTTTTCTGATACTTCTCTTTATATTTTTCTTTTTTCTCATCACTCACACTTTTCCATTCTGTAGATAATAATTTAATAACTTCGGTCAATTTCATTTTTGGATTGTCTTTTAGTAGAGCAGGTCTCTTTTCAGTAATAAATTGCAGGTAGGGACTTAGAGGCCTCTTCGGTTTTTCTGGTATTTTTAAGGCTTTAAGTTTTTCTCTCGTTTCTACTTTTAGTGTTCTAATGGGGGCTTGGATTTGAAGAACTGTTAAGTTTATTCTACTACTGAAAAAAAGCAACATTTTGTTAGTTTTTGTAAATATACCTATTGGACACTAGCAAATAAAAAAAATGTGTTCATTTTAAGTCTTTACCTAGCGTTTGATAAAACCCATCCATTCATAAAATTAATAGTTTTTAATAATTGGCCAGCCATAGCTAGAAATCCTGAGAAAAATGTTTAAATATAAAATAATAATTCAGAATATTCAGATCCGAACCTAAATATCACAAACCAAGCGCACTTTCACTTTTTAGGTGCTTTTTAGGTTAAAAAGCGTTTATCTGTTTATTTATTACGAATAATAGTCGAAAATTTAACAGCTATCCTGTTCTTTTAGAATGATAAAAAGAGAGACCGCATTTATAGTTGCTAAATATTAGGAGTGATGTCTAAAACGAGCGTTAATAGATTGAGTTATGACAACCGACAACAACGTCAGTGCAATGTCTTGTCAGTTTGTTAAGTCTTGCTTAGGCAACCAAATATATAAAGTGGAGTAATTTAAGTTGCCTATACGTAAACTCCATTGTATTTGCTTAATATTTACAACGCTTTTTCAAATTTCGGAGAAAAATATTTGTTTGAAAATACTTTCTCAAGATTATTATCTATTTAATTTAGATTTTTTTAGAATACTTTCAATACAAATGACATTTTTATGAACTATCTCTGAAAATATCGGTTTATACAGATTTATTTTCGTGGTTTAAGAAATAATCTCTTTTTTTAAGTAGTACTTACACAATCTTTCGGAACATTTTGGGTAACTTCTAAATTAAAAAAAAATTGTTATGTCTAATCTAAAAATAATGTTTTCCCAAAAAAATTATTTAGAAATTTCGCTAATGCATTTCGCAACAATAACTTTTTGATATCCGAAATTATTTTAGGCTTGTTAAATTCAAATAATGGTTTTAAATTGTTTTTAAAGCATTTCCTTGTAACAAATACGAAAAAAGACGCCGTCTGTAAAAAATATTCCATAATACCGTAAAAATCAAACAGTAGTATCTATACTTACTTAGAATTAATTTCTCTGTATATACCTTGACATATTCCTCACGAATATTGCTATTTTTTAGAATATTTTGACTTTTTTTTTTAAATAATTTATGACAAGATAATAAAAAATCTGTCTGATATAAATATCTTGTACCTACAAATTAATTAAAGTTCGAAAATACATTCTCAGGAAATCCCCAAACAAATCCCAATACTACCCTAACGAAATAATGGAAATTATTTTTGAAACCCCAAGATGAAAACGAATTTAATGAAAAATTGAAAAAAATCGTTTTCACATTGGGAGTTTAAAAATAATTTTCATTATTTCGTAGTGGTAATATTGGGATTTGCTTGGGAATTTCCTGGAAATTTATCCTCATATTTTTCGGATATTTAATCGATCAGTTTTCGGAACTTTAAAACCGATTCTCTCAAAATAAAAGTTCCTTTGTAATATAGGTCAGTTTTTATTTAAAGAGCACACTAACATGTTTCGTATTTTTTAAATCTTTTGGTGCAGTCAATAATTATAATTTTTAAAAAACAATGAGGTACAAATAAAAAACAATTCAAAATTTTAAAACAGGGGAATCCTCGTCTTTTTGGTTTACGTCGTGTGTATTAGAAATATCTATAAAATATTTCGAATTTACACGACTTGAAACAAAAATATGGAGTTTCGCCTGTTATACAATTTTAAATTGTTTGTTCTCCAATGTTTTTTAAAAATTATATTTATTGAATGCACGACAAGATTTAAAAAATCCGAAACCTAGGTGGTCTTTAAATAAAAACTGTGGCCGATATTACCAATACTTTCAAAAAAAGTCATTATCTATTGATTATTTTACCACTTTTAGTACTATTGACTATTTCAAAAATCAACAAGTTATTTACTGACTATATTAAAATTATTGTTTTCAAACAATCTTTATAATTTATTTTATAGAAAATTTGTAAAGTATTACTTTAGGTTTAATTTATTTTTAAAATTAAATTAAAAATAAATAAAATAAAAAATAAGGAAAATAGAATAATTAAAATAGAAAAAGTTTAATAAAAATTAATTAATTAGGTACTTACCTTTGTAAACCCAAATTTCACTCAAAATGTTTTTAACTTCTAAATTTACAATCATTAATATTATGTATAAATTTTATAGATTTTTTTCAATTGACTACCATTATTAATGTAAATACCAATGTACACAATATTGCAGATTAAAAATTTGGAAGTTAAATTTTTTTTCAATTAAAACACATTTTTTTTATCTGAAAAGAGAAAATAAAAAAGAAACAAAAATATATAAAAAAATATTTATTCAATTTCTTCGAATAGTAAAGATCTATCACAGAAAACTCTGTTATAATTTATAATAAAATATTATTGCCATACAATTTGGAAGACATATTTAGCCCTATATATTAACAATATCACAGTCAAAAAATTAAAATCTAACATTAAAATTAATTAAAGCTTGAAAAGTTACTAAAATTAAAGTTTAAAGCAAAAAGTGAGCAAAGAAGTTAACAATAATTTTAAACAGTTAAAACAAAAATTTACCACGGTCTCCAAACTATATTCTTTTCTTCACAAATTGAGTAGTTAATAGGGCTACACGTGCTTCTCGATGAGGATGGCGATGGAGGCATTTGATAGTGAGCACCATCTTCGAAGACTGGAGAAGCCGGAGGGGTGTATGAACTAGGCACTTCTAAGGGCGATACTCTATCCATACCTTTGAGACTTTGACCTAAGGAAGTCATTAGTTTAGTTCCTAGGTGGATATCAATTCCGGGAATTGAAGCTAGGTATCTTGAGACTTCTTTGGCACAGGTGGTGTAACCGGAACGAAACCTATCTGCTTCTACAACTGGGTTTGCAGATAGTTTCTGTTGACGACGTAGTTTTTGTAGATGGGACACCGTTAACTCCAAAATATCAGCCTTTTCGAGTTTTGCGACATTTTCTCCATCAGTAGCGAGGGCCGACACCATCAAATCTTTAAGCTCGTCCAAGCAACGGTTAATTCTTGCTCTTCTTTTTCTTTCCAACATGGGTTTCATAACTTTGCGATATTGCAAGGTGCGCGATATGGGTTGCGCTTCTTGACAGATCAAAGTTGCGTTAGCCATTATAACTGTAGCGTAAACTGTTAAAGACACTTTCGATTTATAACAACACGATGTTGCTGCGTTCAGAGCTGAACTGAGAATGGTTTAAAAGGTCCGCGTGTTAGAGGTTTTATAGAAGGGGAACCCAGGTGCGGTAGTCTAGGGGCGGTACTTCGAGCGTGGGAACAGGGTGAGTTGGATTCGAGCCGAGTCTATTTTGAATAGGGCAAAGGACGCTCGACCGATTATGCTCCATATGTTTTGTGAGTTAAAATATGAATATGGTGGCATGGTGGCATTAATTGGGCGATTGTATGGGAACGTGCATTGTAAAGGCATGGGAACGTGACGAGCGCGCGCTCGGCTCGAGATTACTTTTTAGGATGCCGATGGTCACAAAAAATTGAAATTGGATGAAAAAAATATGGGAGTTAGATAAAAAACTAATACACATTTTTAACTTTTTAAAAAATAGAGCTCCATTTGCTACCTTTAATTTCGGTAAACCTACAATAATTAATATGCGGTTGTGGTGAAATTAGTTAATATAAGTAGGGTACCTAATCGTTAGATTGATTTTTTATTTATTGCATTTTGCATTGGTCCTTTATTTTTTTTTGGAATATTTCTATGGAGCGTGAACCTATAGTTGATTGGCGAAAGTATGTGATTTCATTTTTGCTTTAAAATAAGTTTTACTTTGTATCTTTTGATAGGGCCCACAAAAAACAGTTTGGTCCAATTATTGAACCAAGAAGAAGAAAAAAAATACTTAAATTGAAGTTATGAGTCCCGAATATTTCATAAAAGTGATTTTACTTATTTAGTAGATATTATACAATGATATTATCTATTATGCGATTCTTCTCTAAGTTAAAAATTTCTTATTTTGCGAAAAATATATACATTACTCTATATCTAGAGGTCCACCCAACTAATAATATACATATATTTTTCTTAAAGGTATAGTTATTTTGATTTGTATTTTGTATACTTAGTTAAATGCCAGTGCAGTGAGTAAATATAAGAATACCAGGATAAATTTATTATTAATTTTGATAGTAGGTACGATTTTTGAAATAATGTTATTTTGTAGAGTTTGATAATAATTTATAAGTAGAAATAAGCAAAAATATTTTAGAGAATATACTTATCAGATCACAATCATGGGCGCCGCCAGAACTTTTTCCAGGGGGGGGGGCAAGTATGCAAAATTGCGAATCCTTTAAAACAAATTACAGAAATGTAGGGATTTATAATAATAATAATAATAATAATAATTTATTCACAACAAAGATTTATAAAGTGTGTACAAAATTAATATTGTGAACAAAAGTATGAACTGATAGGTGAATAACACCTGTTTCAGTTATTAACATATGTAGTTGCAAACTAATAATATGATTAAAAATACCTAAATAAGATAAAAAGATAAAACCATAAAATTCAATACATTTAAAACATTTAAAATATGCCTATCTACAATAATTAAAAATAGTACTTATGCATTATAAATTAAACCTAATTAAATGTTTTTTTTTTAATTTTGAAAATACAAATATTACAAATTTAATAATACAGATAATACAAATAAATACAAATAATGGGGGAGTACAAGGGAGGAACAATGCATTTAAATTACTCGCATACACGGAAAAAAATGTGACTAGAAAATTTTTCTACAATGTTGTAGTAGCTAGTAGACTTGTAGAAAAATACTTAACTTTTTGTAGAAAATTTTACTACAATTTATAGTTAAAAACTATTCATTATTGTAGCAATTGAATTGTCGAATAAAATGCTACAACAATAGGAAAGCAAACATTCTGTGGCAAATGGACACCGTCCGAAGCCATATCTCTCACACAACACACAGGAAAGAAGAACACAATGTTTAGTATATTTTACTATTGTTTGTAGAAGTAGAAATTTATTACAATTATTGTAATTATTACTATTAACTTCTGTTAAAATTTGTACAAATATTAATAATTATCTCTACAAAAAATAATAATACTTTAAATACCTTCTTATGATAAAAATTAAATTTTGTTGAAAAATATTCTACAATATTGTAGAAATTTTAAGTCATGTGAATAAAACAGAATTCTGCTATTGGTCAACATTTTCTGACGTCGACCATAAATGGTCAGACAGCAGTAGCCGTTCGCCATGTTCATAAAACAAAGCATCGTACATATACAGGGTGTCCCGAAATTAGACGGTCATATTTTAACAGCATAATCTACATCCTAAAATAGGAGTAAAAGTTTATATACACATAGGTCCGAAAACTTTTCTTTTCCGAGATACAGGCTGTTAAAAGTGAAGTCCTAATGACACTCTTTTGTAAATATTTTCCAAACGTTTAAAGATAACTAAGTGAAATTTGGTAAAAATGCTTAACTTTTTACGCTTTATTTAATGGACTAAATCTGATCATCTTCATAGGTAGGTAAATTAGGGGGGGCTTAGGGTAAAATTGCCTTAAGTTTTTTTGTTGACAGTTTTTAAGATTTTTGACTATAAAATTTGGAAAACCAATGTTTTCTTTATAATAAAGCTACTTTTGTTGCATCTCGCTAGGACGCACCATTTTCAAGTAAAAAGCATTTGAAAATTTCATGTCTAGTTATTAGAAAGTGAAAACAATAATTAGTAGGCCTGTGAAATCAGAAATTTTATTTTTTTTTATTTTGTAAAACCGGTGACTAAAGAAATTTTAGAAAATATTTACAAAAATGTATCAGGACTTCACTTGTAACACCCTGTATCTAGAAAACGAAACGTTTTCGTACTTATGTTTATATGAACTTTTATTCCTATTTTAGGATGTAGATTACGCTGTTAAAATATGACCGTCTAATTTCGGGACACCCTGCATAACACATTATTATATTATGAGCAGTGATGGTTCGAGAAAATTTAAATATTAACTTCTATAAGTGGTATGTACATTTATTATTGTTTCTGAATAATTTACCTTTAGATACCTAATTTAAATAACTTTAGTAGATTATTTTAATAAAAATAGTTATGGCCAACGATCGATTATTGTGCCAATTTCGATGTTTTTCGATTTAATTGTAACATACCTACTTCCTCACTTTTTTAGTTCTCCGACGTAGTCATTTAATATCCCAATCACTGTAAAGGTTATAGTATCCCCGTTTTATGGGTATGAGCAGTTCAATAGGTATTAATTTTTATTTCGTATTTTTCAGGTGCAGTAAAACCAACTGAGAATGAGGAAACTATTATTACTGTTATTTATTACACATCCAGGGGGGCTTATAACATATGCGCGTTATATCAACAGGTTAGTGCGCAACACATCCGCGCATATCAGTCCGTTTTACAATAATAAAATGATATTTAAATTTAAAGTACACTGAATAATTGAATAATTCAAATATATTTCGCTTAATAACAAAAGTAATACACGGTAAGTATTGTTTTAAAATTATATATTTATATAAATACTACAATTATTTGAAAAACATGAATTAATCAATTATTTGTACAATGTAAATCTGACTTTGGGATTGTCACCCGTTCGAACCGATACAATAACAAAACTGAACAAAACAATATGGTTATGGTTGCTGAATAAAACGTGGTAAGTACTTTTACTTTTATTTAATTTTAGTTTTAGTTAAACATGTTAAATTTAAAATTAAGCAAAGATATTTTGATGTTTTAACATGTGTTTAGCAGGTTTTGTTCGTAATAAATTCATAATATCTAATTGTAATAGCGTTGTTTGTATAAAGGTAAATAGTACAATTTACTGTCCAATTTATGCTGTACATTTTAAGAACACATTTTTTTTTATTTCCTTCCGATATTAAGCAAGGAACTAAATGATGCCGCATAAACTTCATCATTCCACTTGCGAAAAACCATTATAGGTTACAAGACTGTAAATTGGCTTTACCTTTGGTACCCTTGATAGCTAAATTAACAGTAAAGAGTAATACTAAAGTAATATTGTTATCATACCGTCAAACAAATTACCAGTGAAAAGAAAGTTACATTCGATTAAAATTTCATCCAATGAAATATAATTATTACCTAAAAAACAATAATTAGCTCTTGGATTTTTAAATCAATCCAGTGAATGGTTAGCTCCAAGGGAGAAAAAACTCTATTTTATAATTAGAAAACAGCAAAGTAAAATTTGCGAATCAAAGAAGGACCTCAAAGCTTGATCCCGCAGACATCTGTTTTTTTAAAAGTACTACATCTAATTAAGAGATGAAGGGACTACCATTATTAATTATAAAATATTATAATGAAAGTATAAAACTGTGACAATGTCTAAAAGAAAAAAGAGATTCAAAATGATATGAAGTTAAAATACTACTTTGAATTTTTTCTGTTTCAGATTATATGGATGGTTCTCCTTAATGTGTTTTGTTACCTACCCAAGTTTACAGAAAGTTTTAGTTGTTTTATTAAAATATTGTTTATTTAGAAAATTTATTATAAATTAGTTTTAATGATATAATAGATAATACAATTATTTTATATTACATTATTTTACCCTTCCTAAAATTATGGGTCATAAAATTTTACATTTTGATTGGCATTTTGTTACATCTTGCACCTTGTCTGTGTTGTAAAAAATGCCAATAAAAATGCAAAATTTTAGTTATACTAATTAAAGTAGAGCTATAAACAAAATCCCGCTAATTTTTAAATAAAATAAAATATGCAGGTATCTATATTACCGACTGAGAAATAGTTGGACAAATCCCTTACCGGTGGCGCTGCAAGCAAACCTGTTGCCATATTTCTTCAAAGAAACGGCAACTCTTAATTATCCTTCCTCCATGTATTACACAATGTAATGAAGACTTTGTATCTTTTTAATTAAAACAATAAATTTTGAATATTTTATTAACACATTCGCTGCCGATAACGCGCCGGCGCGTAATACGGTACTTTCGTCGGACGCCAATCACGCCCGAGCGCGTTATTTGACTAGTGGTGTTTCTATGTGTTGTATTTAGTTGGGCATTAGCAGTGTGTTCGTGCAGTTGTGTCGGCATTATCTAAAGGGTATTGGTAAGTAATTCACGTGTTTGGTTTCGATTTTTGTTTTTTTATTTAAATTTATTATAGATTTGAACATGACGGAAGAAAATACTGATATGCCAGGG